TCAATCTGATGCAAAATTGGTTTTATTACATGTTTTGAAAGCTGTAGCTTACAGCATTTGTTAGTGCGTCCTTAGAAAGCATTTTTGTCTGGACATTTTTGCAGTGTATCAAGCTGCAATTTTTATCACTTCAAAAATGTAGTCTCCTTAAAGTACTGTTTGTTAGGATTTCTTAATTTAAGAAAGCTAATTAGTAGGCATTGAAGGGGTTCTAAAGGCCTCTAGAAGTTTTTGCTGTTGGGCTTTAGTCTCGGGTCCTGCGTTTGCCCCAGGTCCGTAAGCTGTGTGCTTGGTTATTTTCACGTCCCAGCTGTCATTTCAATGCTACAGCTGTCACAAAACACAACTTAGAGAGTGGCATCTGTGTAAAGGATGCTGCTATAGTTTCAAGCTCTTTGGTGCATTTTAAGCTGATTTTATGATGCGAGTCATTGTCCCTAGTGATGGGTCTCAAAAGGCTATCTTCCTTCTGAGTACTAATGTACAGTTTATTGCACTTTTCTGTATGGTTCCAGCACTTTGTTGTCACTGCTGTTGTAAATCATTATTTATTACTCTAAGTGTCCTTGCTGTTTATTCAGTTCTTTGCAAAAATGTACTTGAAGAAAAATTTCTCACATGCTGACATTCATATATCACTGTTATAGATCTGGCAGTTTCCCGGTGAGTTAAACCTTTGCAATCCTAGGAAGCCAAGTGCTGTACTTCTACACTAATTTAAGCTTCCCCGCTAAGCCCCATCGGTTCTTTGTGAGACTCACAGCCTGTGTGGCTCACAAAGCCACGGGGCCCTCCTGCTTACAGTAAAGACCCAATTCCAGGCTGCAGCCCTCCAGCCTTTCCACCAGCTGGGTTTAAAAGACTCATTTGGGGCTCTGGACTGCAACATAGATAAGGTGGAGCGTGTCTGTAAGCTCCTGTGGATGCGCTTAATGCTATGTTACTTTGTGTAAAGACAAGTATCCTGGCACTTGTTTGCTTTAGTGTATCTTCATAGAAAACTGTGTTTATGAACATATATGTACCAGGGCTGCGAGGTGGTGGCAGTCAAACACAGACTCTCTGCATGCTCTTGAAGCAGACTCCTCCGCTCGCTCGGACTAACGCTCACAGTGGGTCTGAGATGCGTGTGTATGTGCTCGGCGGTTACTCGTGAGGACTTCCTAGAAAACGAGATTTTCGAGAAATCAATTACACAAAGGAACGGAGTCAGGGCCAGATGGCAGGGATGCTTCATCCCAACCTGGGAGGTACTCGTGGGATGGCCGCACGCTCGTTCCCGCAGGGCTGGGTAATCAGATAAATCAATTAGCAGATGTCAGTGCAGTTAACAGAGCAAGCAGCACTAGCATAGGTGTGTTACTGTGAATATAGCAGAGGGGGCTGCTTTTCTTTTCCCCGATGAATGCCCAGCAGCAACTGGATCAGCTTTTCTAGATCTGGCAGGGTAGGAGGAGAAGACTCTGTTTTTCCCAAGAGTCTGCTTTCTGGGTGTTGTCACCAGGTTCAGATGTCTGTCCTTGCCATCCCAGAGGTGCTTAGGGAGAGGGGAGCTTTGTGAACTAGGATGTGGACTAGGACCTCATGCTGTGAGCAAATCCCATCGGTGTGGTGGCCTTTTTTCAGAATGACCTTTGTCAGTGACAGATAGTTCAGCCCTGTCTCCTGGGTGAACTTCGGACCATGCCGTAGCTGTATCTCCAGCCCTGTCTCTGGCCCCATCTCCTTTTGCTCCTGACGGGAGCCCCTAAATGGGCCCAGTGCCTGGTCCATCCCTTTGCCATGCATCCCTTTGCCATTTTTAAAAAGATGGAGAACCCTTTCTGGGTTTTCCTTCTGCTTTGTTTCTTCATGTCCTGTACGGAGACCAGGAGAGAAGCACTAGGAGAGGCCTTCAGCTATAAATTCTGCAATTGTGGCTTTCCTTTAATTTTGCCATGCTTAGGAGTTATATTCTTGGACTGTGGCGATACCTGCACGTGCACCTGTTTTCTGAAAACACCTCTAAATCGTCTCCCAGGAAGGCATTTATAACACAAAAGCAATTGGAGAAAAGGAAGGTAGAAATATCAACTTGGGCAGAGCTATGAAGGGGAAGGAAAATGGCAGAAATCCCACCTCAGTGTTTTGTTGGAGAGATGGGGATCAAACCTGAGTGCAGACTTTAACCTGCTCCCGTTATAAGAACTCTGACCTGTGTTGTGTATTTTATTTGATTATTTTTCCTGGTGGAGGCAAATATCTCTGAGGTGCCAGGGGGAAAGGACAGGCTCTTTTTAAACAGCTTTCTGAGCACAGAGGTGGTTGCCTGAGAGTCACAAACACAGCAATGAAACCTGTGCTGTTCATCAGAGCACTTTTTCACTGTATGGGCTTTTTATGCATTCAGACTGCGGACATCTCGCAGACACTGACGAACTTGACTTCACAGCACCCGAGATTTCTAGCTGTCCATTGAGCGGCCCAGCAGACAGGCCCGATCTCAGCTGACATCTCTGTTCCTCTCTTGCGTATGCGACGGTGGAAGGAGAAGTGAGGCACGGCGTATGTGACTTGACATCACCAGGACATCACCAGCAGACCTAGGAACTGAAGCCAGATCCTCTGTATCTCAGTCCGACACTGTACTCTTGAGACTCCCTACATAGGGAGCTGGACTCGGTGATCCTTAGGGGTCCCTTCCAACTCGGGATATTCTATGATTCTATTCTGTGTTTCTAATTCTTACTAGAGGATGTTTTGTACCCTCCAGCATGTGAAGACTACAGTCTGCTTTTGCAGCTGGTTGAATACCGTGCCAGGACCTTCTCATGCCATGCTCCGGAGCGCAGCTCGAGTGCTGGAGTAGAAGGAAGCCCCATCGAGGTGCTCCACGGTGTGGGTTGCACGGAAAGAATTGACACCAGCAAAACACCACTGCAATCGCAAAGCCAAGCCTTGGATGCTAGGACATGTTGAGCGTTTAACAGTGTTAGTCCTGCCTAAGTTTTTATCCATGGCTCTGCACCTAGCTGATCTTTTGTTTGTCCACCCTGCTCTCCAGTTGCTCTTATGTGCCTGTGCTCCTGTCCTCAGTCTCCCTTCTACGGCTACTTTTTAAGTTTCTTCTTTCTCTGACATTTGTCTGCAGAGTCAGTCACAGCCCCACTGACTAGCTCTTGCCTCCAGGCTCTTTGCTGATGAATCCCATCTTTTGCCCTGCTCCACCTGCCCTTCCATGGCAGGCTCTCTGATCCTCTCTGCTTTCGCATGAATGCATCTCTTTTGCCCTCTGCTTTTCAATCTGGCAGCTTGCTCTTGGTGCTGTTGAGAACACAGGCTATCTGCCACCAGCTCCGGGATCCAGCGATCTGAGAGCTGCAACTGAAAGGAAAAAAACTCTCTGGAAATTTAGCTGCTAAAATGTCAATCGTTTCTAGTCAGGAGAGCGCACTGTGCCTGAATGTGTATTCATTTGCACTCCCTTTCCTCCTTCGTAGCCTTACTGTTTCCCTAATTTTAGAAGTGTTTTCACAGAAGCTGTTTCTGACTGCATTGCCTCAAACTGTGGGAGTAGTTTTTTTAAACGAGACCATCACCAAATTGGTGGGAAAAAAACCCCAAAGTATTTCTTTCGTGCTTCATTTTTGAAAGCTGCTTGACTGTTTTGGCAGATGCTGAGCCAGATACCTGGGATGGAAATGGTGGGTTTTTTTCTGCATTGCCATAGGCAATGTCATAAACACCTGAAGGACTTGTAGTGGAAAACGGCAGGACAGACAGGCAGGTGAATGTATAGAGAGCTGGCCTTGGATAGAATCAGTCCAAGCAGATGCTGGCAGACGTCTGCTACTAGGGACTTCCCCCCCAAATTACCACAGTAACTGGAAAGGATTTGGCTTTGGTACCCTGCACATCACGTGCGAGTCGCTCTGCGGTGTACCCGCAGCCAGCGCCTGGCTGCTACCGGCTGATCTCCTCAGCCCTGAGCCCTGGGTGCTCGTGGGTGCCCCTGGTCCCTGCCCCGAAGGATGCTCAGCAGCACCCAGGCAGCGCCGGTGCCAGGAGCGCTTCCTAAGGGCGGGGGCACGAGGTGGGCAGCCTGAGGAGGCAGAGGGACGGCGGCGGGGCGGGAGGTGGGAAGGAGGGGTTATTGGGTTTGGAAAAGCTCCTGAGCGCTGGTCGGATTGCGGGAGGCCCGGTTGCGACAAAAACAAGCCTTGCGTGTGTTTGATAAGATGGTCAAAAGCCCTGCTTCTTTCTGTCTGTCACCTAGCTGGCGAAGCTGTGATTGACTCCGGCGCTCGTCCTGCGGGCCTGTGGCTTTGTGCGAGGTGAGCCTCTGCGGCACGCTGCAGCATCGGCAAGAAGACTTCTCCTTTCGGCGGGCTCCTTCGAAGGCCATTTTTGCTCCACTACCTCAACCAAACCGTGGTAGGACGCCGTGTTACGCGGCAGGAGCAGGGCTAGCGTGAGAGGAGGTGAGAGAGCAATGTGCTCCTGTGCCCCAGGGTAAAAGAGACGGCCCCCGTGGTCTGGAAAATGCACGCAGCACCCTCTGCGAGTTCAGAGCACGCACAGCTCTGCCATTCAATCCCGGCTAACAGTGTGCGACAGCCTGAGCCTCCCAGGTGCAAAGGGCTTCGGCACAGCCTGGCTAGTCACTTCCCTGCTTGGGGTTTTCGCAGCTCCATTGAAGAGCCTCTCCTTTCTCCTTGGCACCTCGGAGATGTTCGCCTCGCACAGTTTGTCACAGAGACCCTGCAGTAGTTTCACACACTCCTCTAATAAAGTCCTCCGAGGCTGTCATGTATTTTCATGTATTTCCCCTATTATTTCTCCCTGCTTGAGCCTTTCAGATAATTGATGATACTTTAGTTAATCATTTTCCCCCTCCTTTGTTCACCAGGTACCTCAGCCTTGAAGGGATCCTTTTCATTTAGAATCCGTGTCTTCTCTTAAGTAATTGATCACCGTGCACCCGGGGACACCCAATTCACAGCCAAGTGGGATCAGCCTTCATGAATAATCAAAATGCCGTGGCCGTGCTGCTGCAGGAGTGCAAGCGAGCTCTGGACGCGCTCCTGTCGGCAAAGGCTGACACGGGCGAGGAAGACGAGCGAGAATACCGGCGGTGCCAAGGTGAGGTCCCCAGGAGAGGCGGCAGGACCACGGCAGCAGCCGCCGGTCCGCAGCCCTGCCCTATTTTTCTTCTCCTGGCAGATGAGTGTCAAGAGATGCTTGGATTTCGAGGCCATGAATGGGATGCGAGCTACAGGCAGGCAGGGAAAGAAGTCCACTTTGTTGCAGTGAATTGCTGTCAGTTCTAATTTTAGGCTTCAGTAAACATGAGGCTGTAAGGAACAGTTTAGTTTGGGAAGAACAATGCCCAAAAGTTTGCTGATGCACATAAATTTCAGTTATTAAGAAAAAAAGAAAGAAAAAAAAAAAAAGGATGCAACTTCTGAATAAGGGCATATATTTCCTCTCCTTTCATAGGAACTGGGGGAGGGCCTTTTCTGTTTGTCAGCTTCTCCTAATATATTAAAGAGCTCATTGCCTGAATCTTTATCTTGTAAAATGTGTGTGACCTCTATAAGTGGTGTCCAAAGAAAAAAAACTTGCAATATCCCTATTGAAAGGAAAATCCATGCCGGTCAATGTCCGGAAGAAATAACCGGGAAAGGAAGCGGTATTTAGCCAGAGCTCTAATAAAAAGGTTCTTCATTTTTTTTAATGTTGGCATTACCTGCTGGAAACCAGCATTTATTTTGGTATTGCCATTGTGCTTTGAGAGCGGTTTGTTAAAAAAAAAAAAAAAAATTATTATTTCGTAATTCCGGTGGAAATCCAGTTCATGTCAATCATGAAAGGATGCAATACACTCAGGTCAGTTTTCTCTGTCTTCGGACTTTGAGGGCAACATAACTTATTGCCACAGCAATGAATTTTATTGATGAAATAACAGCCACGATTGAATTGCCAATCTTGTTTGAATTACACCTTTTTGGTACAGGGTAGTGACGTTACGTACTCCGTTCTGCCATGCAGAAAAATAATTTCAGCAAGTACGGAAGAATATAGTAAAGGATGAAGGCGGAATTCCCGGGGGGAAAAACAAAGGCATTAGCAGGAAACCACAGAAAATCTATTTATGTGTGGGTTTTCCTTTGCGTGACACATCTGCAGTACTGACCGTTTTGCAGTTTAGTGTTAATAATGTTTAGTTTTGCTTTGCGTGAATGACTCGGCCATAATGTTAATTTGATCTCTAAAATCCTTTGTTTGTCTTGGAGCACGGAGCCGTTGAGAATATGTTTTTCCGACCATCCTTGTTCTTGCTGGGAGGTCAGCTGCCTTTTTCTGAAGCACCTAAGTCTGTTTGCGGTGGAGGGTGGCGTATAGGTTTCTGTTATGGATACTGGAAGATTTTTCTCTTCTTCTTTTGTTTTCAACAAAGGGTACTTTGTTTCCTCATCACAAATTCTTTCAAGTTTTATTATGGCTCCTTAGAATAGGCTCTTGAACTCCTAATCAGGTAGCGCGCTTTTTCCCTCATCCTCCTCCCTCCTTTTCTCCTATTAAATACCACAAAGTATGAGAAATAATCAGTTTAGTTCCAGATAAGGTAAATCAGTGCCCTTATAATCACTCGATTAGACATGGTCCTTCAGGTAAACCGCTTCAGGAAATGGGCGATCAGAGCCTGAAGTGATGCTCGGGCTTTTCCGAGGACTGTGCTCCCATCAGCTGAAAGACAAATACCCAGCAGCGGGGCGATGACAGCGACATTAATAACTGCTGGGGCTCTCTGCCCGGGGAAGGCAGGGCTGCGCAGGTCTATGGCTCTTGGCTTTGGGGGACCCTCCCAGCGCAGAGGGGGTTGCTGTGCCCCCCTCTCCTCCCGGGGCTGCCTTTGTTCACCCCAGCTTTCTCAGACGGGGCGCAGGAGGAACTGAAAGTCAAATACATATAAATAGTGGGGAGAGGAGGAGCGCATCCTTATCTCGCTTTAGTTAAGGGGGCAGAATGGGTGTTAGGTGGGCCTGGAGTGCTTTTTTCTTTCTTGCTAGGCTAGAAATCATTGCAATCAGCTTCTGTGCCAGTTCAACCTTCGTTAATTAATGAATTTATATTGCCTACAGTGAGAACAGCTATCTGTTACAAGAGTAAACTCTTGTCCTGGGAGTTGGGTTTTAGCTGCAAGCTGCGGGACTGTTCACACGAGCTCCCCAACTGGTTGGTGTGGTTCTAGCGGATGTTCTTGCGATACAGCATCGTTTTATTGTCATGAGCACGCTAATTGTGTTTATTTCCATGCAGTGACAGCTAGACGTCACAGCAAGGCTCAAAGCAGCATCCTGCTAGGCTTACGCGAATGTCCAACCCCAAAGATGACTGAAGGCTCCTAGATTGCCAAATCCTTCTGAAAATGTTACCCAGTAACAGTAGTGACTGCTGAGGATGCCTCTTTAAAAATCAGAGTTCGATATTAAAGAATTTGGCTGTATTCTTTGTTCTTTAGCGCATCGAGTAGGAGGGGGATTAAGGTTTAATTAAGGGTAACATAGAAAACAGGAACAAGAGGACAGCAGTAGTACCTTTAGAGAGAATATCAATGTCCATGTTATCCCACCCATTATTTTCATAGTTGCTGACACTGCTATTTTTTTCCTGTTTTAGTGTTATTTAAGTAAGCATGAGTGCCTGTGGGAAAGACAGAAGAAAAGGTAGAGGAGACAGAAAGGCTGTCTGTGTAGGCATCCTATTTCTCTTTCTCTAGATCCTTCCCCAAAATGTCAGTGCTGTCGGATCCTATGGGGAAACACGTGCTTGCTGTGACTGGCCTCAGGACCCCCCATCTTCCTTTGGAAAAGATTTTGGGAAGCTTGGTCTTCCCCTCTTCTACACAGGGGGGGTAAAATCCTCTGTCCGTCATTTTGCGTTCCTTGTGACGAGACGGGCATCCCTGCCCCTGCACTGATTTTGCAGCGAGAGGTGCAAGGGTGGGAGCACGACCCCCTTTCCTCTCCCAGCTCTGCCGCTTGGCCACCTTGCCCCGGGGTGGAGGGCTGAGCCTCTCCAGACACCGCTCCAGAAGGGCAGGGAAACGTGGCTGCGTGTGAAGCTGGGATGTGTAACGGGAAGCGTGTCCAGAGCTGCAGCAACAAGTGAGAAAACGTGGGCTGGAAAACGTGATGACTTTTTAAAGGTGACTTTTTGGAAAAAGGGCCCTAAATATCCGACTTCCTGCTTTTTCCTAGGAAAAATGCACTGGTGAATGCACTGTAATATGAGCATGAAATAGACTTTGTATGTAGTGCGTTTTCTATGGTCACCCGTAAAGGTTTGGTTAAAAAATATGTAGTAATACATTTATTACATTGCCTTGTTAAAGCAATGATGGTCTCTGAGCAGGGTTTTTGCTGGGGATTAATGGCCAGAAGGGTCTAGATCTGCAGCTGATGATCACCATTAACCCCATCTGGTCAATAATCCTTGTTAATCCACTTTTATTGGCCAGAGAGTCTGCCCAGCCGAGTGGTTAGCACAGCACAACGCACTCAGGCTGTAGCTTCACCCCTGTTTCAAAGAAAATTAAATTGTGGGCTGCAGCTGAAAGGAAGGGACAAATCCAAGCCCAGAGCTCTAGCTGTGTGCTCCTGCTAGCAGTTGCATCCTTAGCTGAGTGAGGTTGGAGATCCAGCCGAAGCCGATGGTTATATGGGAGGCGAAGGACCAGCCCGGGGAGGGAGCAGTGTGTGGGCATGGGCCAAACTGCGCTCTTGCCTGGTGAGCTGTGGCACCTCGCTGGAGGATCAGGGGCCAGCTGTGGGAGCTGGGAGTACTTTGCCCTCAGCCAAAAAAAAAAATTCTGTCTTTTGACTCCTTTGTTTGGCCTTTCCAGTTGGGAGGGAAGCTGTGCTTTGGGTAGGGTTTGGAAACCCTCGGGTAAAGGGTGTGAGGACTGGGATTTCCATGCTGCTTCGTGCTGGCCGTGCCTGGACGAAGGGCACCTTCTCCTCTTAGTTTCTTTTTAATTTCTGTTGCAAACTGCAAGAGAAATGCAGAAGGTCAGGCCAGCTCCTCAGCTAGTGTGAATTACTTGGCTGAGCCAGCTTCAAAGAAGATGCATCTGCTTCAAACAGGGAATGTCATAGCAAGGCTTCAGCTGGTACCTGCCACGCATCCGTAGGCACTGCCGTGTTAATAGCAGTTCCCAGGCACGTGGCTTAAACCGTTTTGTCTGGCTAGAGCAAGATCCCTTTAGATCTTTGTCTAATTGCTTTATATGGTCCGGGTTTATCTCCCAGTTTGGATGTGGCTTTTCAAGCTGGCTCTGCCACTTGTCACCAGCAAGCCCTGAGCGAGGGGTCCTCTGTGCTGTTGGCCCCATTTGCTCTGCCAGGAGTCCTCCCCTCACATGGGGGAACAGGTTTCCTCCTGTCTCTCTTGGAGCCGCTCTTCACGCCCAGCCAGCCACCAGCCGCCGTGACTTCCTGCTAAAAGCCTTTTTAATGGCTGATGGCTCCCATTTACCTGGAGGGCAGAGCATCCAAGGGTAACAGATGACAGGCAAGCTCACCTTCCCTCCCGATGAGGCTGGTGGCAAGAGCTAAGGGCTGGTAGCAACTGGGAGAAGGTCCGAGAGGGAGGGGAGGCATGCTTTTTGCAGGGTAGGTGCTCTGCCCTAAGTGTTGTGGTTGAACCCACTGCGATATCTTTACCTGCTCTTTGACCTTTTCAGCTTTGCTTCCCGAGGACTTGAGGACCCTTCTGGAGGAGGCAAAGGAAATGAAGTGGCCCTTTGTGCCGGAGAAGTGGCAATACAAACAAGACCTTGGCCCAGAAGACAAAACAAACCTGCAAGATATGATCGGCTCCAGGCTCCACGATTTGCTGGTATGAATTTCAACATACCTGTTGCATAAAACATCCTGCTGAGGTGCTTGAGGGTACGCAGAGCCCTGGTAGGCAGTATGACCTGTGCAGTCAGGGGCTTGTTTTTCTGCATGGTGGCAGCAGCAAGTGAGGAACTGCTTGGCAAGCAGAGGTGAGCCAGTCTGTGTTGGGCTGGGGCTGCTCACAAAGTCCAAAGGGCCAAAGTAGAGATGTGGCTTTTATTTTGGTCTTCAGACGAGAGGGACCCAGAAGCTACACAAAGTTTCTGATTTTTTTTTTTTTCATTACAGTTGCTGTGAAGCAACATGTGTGAATCACGGTTTCCTCCTTGTGAGACAGCTCGTCTCCATGTCACCACTGCATCTTCCAAGGGCAGCAAAGTCCTACCCTCTGCTGCCACTGCAGCCAAGCTGAGGTGGTGAGATCAGTGGGAGCTCTGCCTCGGGGTTAGGCTTCTGGTCTGTTGGCTACGTAACTTGTGGCAGACGGGCGTGCAACACCACGCAAGGCTGTTGGTTTGAGATCTTGCTGGTACCCGCAGTTGTACGTGCTCTCCCAGAGCAAGGAAGATAAAATGGATTCAAGTGATAAAGTTTTGAGTGTGTCCGGGCGTTTGGCTGCTGCTGTGCAAGGAAAAAAGTGCCTAGATAGTAATGACAGAGAGATTGCAGAGCGGAGGGCGCTGGCTCTGCCTTGTCTGGAAGTAATTCCACAGGTATATAGGGATTGTCCGTGCATTGAGCACCTTGCAGAACAGCAGCCTCGTTCATTGAAACATGCGGCGATGGCTTCGACTGCGTCTGTGCTGTTTCTGCTCGCTGTCGTGCTCAGCCCGCGCTAGTTTGGGCACTTGCTTTGTCTGTTCCCCTGGTTTCACAGGTCAGTGCTGTTTCTGTTTCCACTAAGGTAACGTTCACCTCTTCCCTGAAGAACTGGCATTATAATAAAACTGAAATGCCAAATATTTACATAAAGTTTTAAAAAAAAAAAAACCCCATAAATTTGAAGAGAGTGCTGTGCCTTGTTTAATTCAGCACTGCTAGGAGGCAGTGAGGATTACTCACTTGAGTAGGGCTTGCACGATTCGTCACCTGCTTTTCTTTTTTCAAGAAAATTACTTGACAGGATCCCTTTGAGGACCAAAGCTGGCCAAAACCTAGGCAGGAAAGGCGAGAATTTAATGTGACTTCTCCTGTGAGTAAAGCATATTTGGCTGTGTAAGGAGCCGCAGGATCCAAATGGGGCTTGGGGAACCCATCCTGTAAGGTGATGAGTTTCAGCTTGAAGAGTGTAAGTGGCAAGAAATGTGGATTGCTTTTTGCTTTTCTGATTTTCTCGGAGGCGTGTCAGACATGACTTGTAGCAAATAGAGGACTCCCTTTTCGGTGGTAGAGGTAATATCTATTATTACTGAAGCCGACACAGGGAGGTCTGGCCCTGCTGAAATCCCAGCTGCAAAACGGCTGTTAACTCCGAGGTGGCCAGGAGATTCCACCTGCTTCAGAGAGAGCCCTGCCCAAGTAAGGCCAATAAGTTTTGTTTGAGGACGACGATGACTTTGAATAGCACTGAGCAATGAGAAGCTCAGAAAAGGCAACTGCAGGGCTGGGAGGTGTCAGCCCCAGCACCCCACGTTGCAGGGATCCTGAATTTGCTTGCAGGGGGGTGGGGAGCGGCTGCTTCTTGGGTATTTATTTTCTTTTTCTCTTTGGTGTGTGTGGCCTTAGACAGAAATTTATGGCAGAGGTTGACCTCCTTTACAATCCCCGCGCAGCGCTCTAACTTTGGAGCGTTTGTCTGCTCTCTCCCGGGATAAACACCTGCAGTAAACTCCCTGAGAGACCTGGCTAGATGGGAGATTAATGTGGCTGTAATAGTGGAGCAGCGTTTGCAGCATTATGCCCTCTCCCCAGGTAGATGGATCTTTTCTGAGATGATACCAATTATTTATTGCTGAAACATCTGTTGATAACTGCAGCTGCCCTTGTTAAACAAAGCATATCATGGGGTCATAGACTATAGGGACCTAAAATCCTACCGCATGCTAGTTTTAGACTATTCACCGACACCCCCTGAAGTCCATTGGTTACCGTTGTCTTCAGTGTTTCATCCTGTGGTTGAAAATACTTTGTAAATGTTGTGCTGCCTTTCCCCGTGTGCTTTGAAGTATTATTTCATCTTCATCGGTAATTTATATTCCAGTGCCATTGTACCATGGGAAAAAGGGAAAACCTTTTTTGTTTTCCATTTAATTGTAGATAGACTGACATTTTGACCTGTATTATTAGTATTAGTCAAGAAAAGGGATTTTTTTTTCCCCTTCATCCATTCCCCCCCCCCCCTCTTTTTTTTTAAATAAAATTTCAAGGCAGAGCAAAGGCTGCTTCAGTTCTTTGAATAAAAAGCTGGGGGGGAAAATGAGGCTGAAGAGAAGTGATTACAGTGTGATGAGGAAAGATAAAAGTCTGAGCAACTTTTTTCTTCTTTTTTTCTTGGCACGAAGGACAGAAGGATAATTTAATTCCCCGGAGGAAAAAAAATAAGTCTTTGTCTATTTATTGTTCAGAAAAACCTTTAAAATTTTTCATCTCTGTTTATTTTAATTTGCCATGCTTAGAATAAGCTCATAAACCGTAATTCATTACATTTAAAAAGTGCTTTGAGATCCATGAATGAAAGGCACTTCATTACCATAACACACTGGTGGTGTTACAGGGAGGCAGAGCTGGCTACCAGGGCTCACCATGAGGATGTTTTACTCTGAGAGTAGGCTGAAAAGCTCCATGAGACCAGCACAGTGAGTAAGCGGATTAGGCTTTGGCTTCAAGGGTTTGCCTTAGTGTTGCACTTCTTAAAGTGGGATACCCGTTGCTGGCGGCTGCACGCTAGTTTGACACATCAAGAAGGCAAAGCCACCTGCACCTGTGGCCTTTTAAAGTGCGGCTCTTTGCTTTTGCTGTGGGATGCTCATTACTTCTGCGTGCTGGCTGAAGCAGTAGGAAGGCATGGCAAAAACAGCTTGGGGGGGCAGGGGGTAGCGGCAAGCCAGGCTTTCCTCGGCGTGCTCTCGCTGCAGCCTCCGTTCAGTGGGAGCCACGCTGCTGCCGGAGCAGGGCTCAGGGCAGATTTTAGCAGTGTACGCAAACTTTTCTTCCCCCACCCCCCCACTATACGTAATTACCAAACCTTCCTAGGGATTTTAAGGCAACAGGTTTACTGTAATCCTTGAGGCAAACCAGCATTTCTGGTTTTACAAAATCTTTGCATCTTATAGAAGGTGGTGGGGTGGGGTTTTTTTAATTATTATTTCTATTTTTATTTTCTCTGCCGAGGATTCACCAACCAATACAAAGGCTACCCCAGTTCAACAAGCTCAGCCTACTGCTTTCCACATCTTCCTAGCAGGTTTTAAGAGAGCTTCCCTCTTGGTTGCCATCGGCTAGCAAACCAAGGCCATCCTGCAGCCCCGTCTCAGCCTGAATGCCCCTTTGGTGGGAATCTGTAGTAAAGCTTGAAGGGTGATAACCAACATCTGTATCCAAAGCAAAAACTGGGAAGCACTGGGATTTTGGTTTTTAAAAAATCAAAGCAAAATCAAGAACTGTAACAGCATCCTTGCTGACAGGTACAAATAAGGAGGGATTACTTTTTCCCTCTAAATACCACATGCGCTGTAGGGTTGGGACTGGGGCTGCAGATCCAAAAGGGAGGCTGCTGGGGGTTACCCTTCCTGCAGATCTTCGCTATCCCAAGGGATGGAAATAGCCTTACGCTCGGTGACCAGCCAATAGAGGGCAACATGCCCATGTCCACGTAGGCTTTGATCTCACAAACCCTGTTGTGGGTTTCGTTGAAGGACAACAATACGCGCACGCAGGTAGTTCTCTTGTGGGATGATTTGTGCCACTTAATATTGAAATTATTTTTTCGCCAGATCGGAGCCCGTTTGCCAACCCATTCTAATGATGTGAGGCTTTGCTTCATCTTGATCGTACGTATCAATAGTTCCTGCATCCAGGCTGAGGCATTTGGCTGTGGAGCGGGATCTGCTGGGATAGGTACAGTGCGAATCCAAAAGGAAAAGCCCCCAGGATTAGGGCTCCTGCGGGTCCCTCTGCACCCGCTGTGGGGAGCCGTGCAGGCTGACCCCGTGCTCCCTGCCGTGGATGAGGGAGCGCGGATCCGGGCCCTCCTGCGCAGAATTTCATGGGAGTTAATGGGAATATTGAAAAGAATAGAAAATAAGGCCCTGCAGCCCTTGCCTGGGCCTTGGCTAATTACGTGCTGATGGATTGCTATTAGGGAAATGGTTCTGAGGGACATGCCCTAACTACCCTTAGGTGTGTGTGTGGCACTTAAGAGCTGGGAGCCTTTGAAAAAGAACTAAAGAGGGGGCTGAGGATTTAGTTTTCTCCTCCTTCTAGCTGTTGGTGTGGTAACAGGAGAATTAAAGCCCTAAATCTGTAGCCCTGGGATCTTGGTTGTTCAGGCTGACCTTTTGCTACCTGCCTCATAAGAGCTCTTCTTGGGTGATCCTAGCGAAACAGAGAGTGACGTAAGGGAGAGCTGTGGCTGTGGGCTGGATATAGCCCGAGAGGGAACGCGTGGCACCCAGCCTCCCTTACGCTGCGCCATCCCTGACGCTTTGTAAATGAGAAGTGTCGGGAGATCGGGTGCGGGCAGGAGAGCTTCAGCTGGCCAGGGTGATCGCCCTGATGCTGCCAGCGTGCAACGCTGCGAAGCACGCAGTCTTCTGCTGCCTGTGTGGGAAAACTAAGTAGAATTTGCGTGGAGCAGCAAATAAAAAAAAATGCAAAGTCTGATCCTGGGTACCTGTAGTACTTGTCAGTTTGCTTTGCGCGCGGGTAGGATTTCTTCTTCTCAGATGCAGCTTCAGGGAGTGTTTCTTCCCTGGAAAAGACTTTAAATGTCTTATTACTGAGATTGCCATGTCGTGTTTTCCTTCCAAATTAAACTGCTTCTCAAATGGATTGATGTTT